CATCATAGATGGCATCAACCTAATCTCTACTAGTACTGCATTACTCAGTCTTCATAGATGGCACCAAGATGTGTCAGGAATAGAGCAAGAGACTCTTTGTTTTTGATATGTGGACCATGAGGTGGTACCACAGGAGGTTTTTGTTGGGTTGAATGAGGTCTCGGGGACAACTGGAGAGGATATTGCTAGAGTGGCTGTGTATGTCCTTCTGAGGCTAAATATTCCACTGTCTGGTTTGAGGGATCAGACATGTATTAGTGCTGCCAGTATGTCAGAAAGACATTCAGGAGTGCAAGCAGAACTGAAGAGACAGTAGCTGTTGGCTTTGTATGTGCACCAGGACATACTGTCTTAATTTGATCACAAAGACTGCATGCTAAGCAGATCCCCTGACATGTGATACCTTGCAGTGGTTCCATGAGCTAGAGACATTATAAATGAACAGTCTGGAAAATTCAAGGCCATGTTTTCAACAGTAGCAGCAGAAGGACATCACTCAGACCATCATGCCCAACCAGGTGAACAGTGCAAGGAAAAGCCACCAGAGCAGTAAGGGAAACTTACAAAAGGTTATTGACGAAGCAGTGGCAGTGGTTGACTCCATCTAGATTGAGCCTATTCAGATTCCTCACCAAAGACAACCACAAAAACAATACACTGGTGGGGAGTCACCTGAGAAGCATTACAGAACAGAGTTCTACAAAATGCAAGATAGTGTAGATGTTTAATTTAATGAGAGGTTCCACCAACCAGATCTAGACATCTTGAAGATATTGGAGGAAACTCTATTGCCTGGAGAAGTGAATGACATTGTTGACTAGTACCCAGAATTGAACAGGGAGAATATAAAAGTTGAACTAGCCATGTTTCAGTCCAAAAACACTTTCAAATCTAGCACTGAAGTGGCTAATATCATGAGAACAATAGCAGGTGAGAGGCTTGTTTGATGAAGTTGAAACCCTTGTCAGGCTGCTTTTAACCATCCCAGTCTCATCAGCTGAGACTGAAAGAAGTTTTAACACTCTCAAGAGACTAAAAACATGGGTTAGAACAACAATGATGCAAGTACGACTGACCAATGTTACTGTGTGCCATGTCCACCTGGACAAGCTGGACAATATTGATGTGAAACAAATATGCCAACAGTTTATTTCTGTTGCAGACAAGTGTAGGCATGTGTTTGGCTACTTTAAATAGATGCAAGGCAGTGGAATCTGAGCTGTTTGTATTTAGCATGTCAATATAGTATATACACTTTTTATGTTTAGATGTAAAGACAAATTTACAGATCATTGGTTTGAAAAGTTAACAGTACTTTCATTAAAATGTGTCCTTCAAGGTTCCATTCGGCTGACAAATGTGAGTAAAGAATTTCTTGTGTTCTGTAATTACAGTACTTACTTATTGGTTACATGCAGGGGCGCCGCCAGGGATTTGGGCTCCATGGAAAGAAATCGGTTTGGCACCCCCCCACCCCACCAGCACAGGCCACGGCAACCCTGAAAATATGACTGACACCTTCTATAAGAAATGTGCTAGATCTTTTACAGTGTCATTTTAATGGTAAAATCCTTGAATGGAAAATTTTCTTACCCCTATCGAATAACTTATATAACTTAAGAAAACATTAACCTATGGAGAGAAAGTGCAGCTGAGCCTGAAGCTGCAACTGTTGTCCATGCAATGGATTTAGCATGAATAACTTGCTAAAATTTTGCCTGCATTGATTAAAGGTCAACTAAATGAGGCTGCAAGACCTTCTCATGTAAATGGTTGTTGGTTTGTTGTTTGCCATAAATAAGAAAAGAAAAAGAAACAGTTTTATAAATACACGGTAAATAAAATGTTCTATTAATGATGATAGGTTAATAATTTAATGTTGAAAAAATTACCTAATATTCTAAAAGTCTTTCAGGGCCCTTGTCAGGCCCTTAGAATCATCCTGACTTTTCTCCCCCATACAGCGCCCCTGGTTATGTGGACTACAGTACCAGGTTATAGCTGTAGGTGTTTATACACTATATTGCCAAAAGTATTCGCTCGTCTGCCTTCACATGCATATGAACTTGAGTGACATTTAATTCTTAATCCATAGGGTTTAATATGATGTCGGCCCACACTTTGGAGCTTTAACAGCTTCAACTCCTCTGGGAAGGCTTTCCACATAGTTTAGGAGCGTGTTTATGGGAATTTTTGACCAATCTTCCAGAAGCGCCTTTGGGAGTTCAGACACTGATGTTGGGCGAGAAGGCCTGGCTCGCAGTCTCCGCTCTAATTCATCCCAACTGTGTTCTATCAGGTTGAGGTCAGGACTCTGTGCAGGCCAGTCAAGTTCTTCCACACCAAACTCGCTCATCCATGTCTTTATGGACCTGCTTTGTGCACTGGTGCGCAGTCATGTTGGAACAGGAAGTGGCCATCCCCAAACTGTTACCACAAAGTTCCCACAAAATCTCTTGGTCTGCTGAAGCATTAAGAGTTCCTTTCACTGGAACTAAGGGGCCGCGCCCAACTCCTGAAAAACAACCCCACACCATAATCCCCCCTCCACCAAACTTTATGTTTGGCACAATGCAGTCAGACAATTACCGTTCTCCTGGCAACCGCCAAACTCAGTCTCATTCATCAGATTGCCAGATGGAGAAGCGTGATTTGTCACTCCAGAGAACACGTCTCCACTGCTCTAGAATCCAGTGGCGGTTCACTGAGCTCCTGAGAGCGACCAATTCTTTCACAAATGTTTGTAAAAGCAGTCTGCATGCCTAGGTGCTTGGTTTTATACACCTGTGACCACAGAAGTGATTAGAACACCTGAATTCAATGATTTGGATGTGTAAGTGAATACTTTTGGCAATATAGTATATGTATGATGTATGAGAGATGTAGATGACTGTGGCTGGAGTAAAGTTAAAAAGTCTCTGTTTAACTGTCTCCCTGTTTATAATTAGTTACATTTAACTTATAACATTACAGAATGTATTAATTAACAAACTCTAATATTCGGTATAGACTAAAAGCCTAAATGTCAATCCCTGAATAGCACTGTTTTTTCAGTTATGACTGTTGTGTTGTCTGTTTAGGTGTCCTATCATGAAGTACAAATAACTAAACTGTGATGTTGTTGGTTAACCTAATTAAAATTTTGTAATTAATTAATAATTAATATTTATTGTCTCAGAAACATATTGACAAAATATTTACAAAGTTTAGCCAGCTCCACACAATTAAAGCTTACTTGCACTGTGAGCCCCTTGAGCCCCGCTCAGCAAGAAACTCACTCTGCGAGCCCCGCTAGCAAAACTTGCTGTGCCCTCTCCATGAGCCGCAACTTTACCCCACACTACCTCTGTGCAACTGTTAGCTAGCCGCAGACATGTTTCAACAAAGCCAAAGTCAATATGTATAATTTTACAATGAGTGCCGCTCTCAGAACAAAACCTTTTATCTCCATTTTTGTTGTTTTTCAGTTTTTGGTATAATTTAGAAATGCATGTTGCCCCTTACATTGTCTGTGCATTTCATTATGAATGAACCAAAAGAAATGGCCTAAAATTACTTTTTAAAAGTCTGGTTTATTTGACTAACATTAAAAGTAAAGTTTTTTTTTTGTTTTTTTTTGTACAAGGTTAGCGTTACATACATATGTAATTACAGACCAATTTCAAATCTTCCTTTCATTGGAAAAATTATTGAGATGTCTTCAAGCAACTTACTGGCTTTCTGTCCTTAAATAGCTGTCTAGACAAATTTTAGGCAGGTTTTCGGCCTAATCATAGAACTGAAATGACTCTAATTAAAGTTATTAATGACTCACTTAAATACAGACCCTGGAAAAACCTTGTTTCTATTACTGCTCGTTCTCAGCAATGCCTTTGATATCACTGCCCATAAAATTCTCATAGATGGACTTGAGAACTGGGTTTGGCTCTCAGGAACTGTCCTAAAATGGTTCAGTTCATATCTGCAAGGTAGGGGCTACTTTGTGAAAGTTGAAAATAATATTTCTGAGAGAGTGCCACTGACCTGTGGTGTTCCCCAGGATTCAATTCTTGGGCCACTCTTATTTAATTTATACATGCTGCCCCTTGGCCAAATACTACAAGACTATGTGATATCTTACCACAGATATGCAAAGATATGACCCAAAATCAAATCTGACCTTTTTGTAGAAACGTCTCAACATGGTCAATGTCACAAATGTGCTTAAATTTAAATAGTCACCTATCTTGAATATTTCTAATACATTTTAATAGTTTTTCTTTGCATTTCACATTTTGTTTATTAATTTATTTTTACATAATTTGAAAATGCCTGTTGGCCTTTACATTTTGTACTAATTTAATGAAGAATGGGCCAAAAGAAATTAAATCTGATTCCATTCCATCTTTCTCCTGTAAAGTTACCATTTTGCAGATACAAGGTTTTGTTCCGACAGCAGTGATATGCTACTTTTCTCAACACTGAAAAAAGTGTTGTTTTGAATTTAGTTTATCCAGACATGTACATCAGTTCACATGAATAAAATACATTGCATCAACACAGTTCTTGACAAAAGTAAGTCAAATAAGTGACAGTGATTGTGATGCTGTAATATATTTAATCCATGTCATTTATGGGGAACCAATGTACATATTTGAATCAAAGGAAAACTGTCACTTCTCAGCATTGAAAAAACCAACAACTGCTGACATTTGGTTTACTTATTAAGAATCAGAGCCCATATCAGTGTTGCGCAATGTTTTGCACAATCCACATTATAAATGACAAACTGAAATGAACTGAATAAAGTAATTAATTTCATCATTTCTGGCTCAGGGCCTAAAATAAAAATGCCACTTTCACCTTCCCACTGCAAATGTATCAAGTCTTCAATTCATGTGAAACGATGAAGCTATTCTCTAGAATAGGAGGAGGCTGCTTGGTCTTGAGCAATCCCACGCTCTCACTGGAGGCGGGAGCCCTTTTAAAAGGGAAAGCAGCTTGAGTTGAGAGCTGTAGATGGAGAGCCATCCAAGCACTTGTGGCAGCAGTAGTCTCCTGAAGTGTATATCATTTTGAATTTGTTTATCGAAGCTGTGAGGAACAGATCTCTTTAAAAACATGAACGCCACAGCTCTAGCCATCGCTTTTTTAACTTGTGTGCTTTTGTCCATGACAGAAGGTAAGAATATTTTCTTATTATTTTTATTATTATTTTGCTTTTCTTTGCAGGGCTGGGTTATTTGTGGTGTATCAACACCTTGACCTTTTGTCAATTAAAAAACAAAAAGATGAAAAAATAATTTTTAAATGTATTCTAATGTGGTAGAACTTCTGAAAATAAATGTGATGCTTTGGGACACTATTGCTTCCATTTCTGCACACATCCAAAAATTCCTTTGTAGCTATTGCTGTATATAGTAAATCTAATCATACTTGCAGTAATGTGCATAAGAGCTCATAAGGAATCATATAGAGAATGTAACTCATACTTTCCTGCTAGTGAGTGATGTGTGAACAACATGTTTCATAAATAATGTCTCTCTCTCTTTCTCTGTGCACATTTGTAGGCCGAGTTATAATGATTCAGCCCAAGTGCCGTTGTCCAGCAACCACCACAAAAGAAATCCCACTTGACAGGATTCAGAAAATTGTGACCATTGCTCCTGGTCCTCACTGCAGAAAACTGCAAGTAATGTAAGTCAAATTAAATGATTTTAATATATATTGTTTGTAGGTCTCTGTGAGAGAAGAGCGTATTAAAGCTGTTATTTTCATTCCTATTTTAATAATACATGCTCCTTTTTACAGTGCCACTGTGAAAATTCAGAAGAAAGTGGTAGATGTCTGTGTCCCCCCCAATGGCCCGTGGGTTCAGGATGCCATGAAAAAGTAAGTTTCCCATTTGCAGGTCTCACTGGGCTCCTCACACTAATATGCAGTTGAATGGAAAATTTTGAACATCCTGAGTTAAATTACGAGTTGTTGATTTTGTGAAAATGAGTCAACACGTCCTATACAGAGAATTGACTTAATATAAATAACTAAATATAAAATGTGTCATTACTTTCGCACAGGTCACATTCTTTGTTTAAGTTCAACAGTAAACATAAAATGTGCAGGACTGTGTTCTCTGTAGAGGGTATGTTAACTTATTTTCACTTAGAAAACCAACAAAACCTCATATGATCAGGGGTGCCCAAACTTTTGCATATGGGTATATGTTGCCATTTACAATAATCTTGACCCATAACATATTTGATGACTGAATTTAAAAGAAAACTCCAACCTAATCTTTATCAGCTGCACCTGTTGCATATTATCATGTTTGTTATATTTAATATACTGATTTCTTTCATTTTTCCTAAAACCAAAACCTGTAATAATAGAAGCCATTAAGCAGGTGCTGAAGGAAACACTCTACTTTTTTATTTACTAACTGTTTCTTTCTCTTCATCTTTGCAGGATCGGACTGATCAAAGACTCAAAACCTAACGATCGTAGTTTGATCTGAGATGCAAGCAAAAAGAGAAGAGAAACACTTGAAAAAGAAAGGAGGACTGTTTCTTTAGTCTTAAATATAATTTTTTGACCAATCACTGTTAAAATGTGACATCAATATAGGAAACTTACATGTTCAAGCACTTTATATTGTCATGTAGTACATAGTTTGTATTATTCTTTGCATTTTGTTCATAATATTTGACTTATATTATTTATAAAGTATATTGCAACTGCCATATTCAGATCATGCATGTTGTTTTTTTCGAATCTCAGTCTTTGGTGTTCTGCTTCACATGTGTGAATGGGTGGGTTAGATTCAATAATATAATGCTGACTCAACACATTTCACATTTTACCTCTTTACCTGAGCTCTAGAGTTTAGTGAATAATAATAATAATAATAATAATAATAATAATAATAATAATAATAATAATAATATTTAAAAAGTAAAATAAAGACAGAGAAAAGACAAAGACAATACAAACCAAAGAAAATAAAACAAACAAGACAGAAATGAGAGTACAACATATAACACAGCTATGAGGTTGGGGTAGAAGAGTAGTACTGGATGAAAGGGTTCCAGAGCTCAGAAGCCAAAGTACTATAGGACCTGCCACCCCTAGAAGACTTGTGGACAACCAACAGCCCAGAGCCGAAAGACCTAAGTTCACATGAAGGGAGGTGAAGATAAAGGAGCTGAGCTGAATATGTATGTGCCAGACCATGTAGTGCTTTAAAGTTAATGAAAAGTATCTTGTATTTAATGTATGAAGTAAAGAGTAGCTAATGTAACCAGTATAAGACAGGAGTGATCTGTTCTTCACATTTGGTGTGGGTGAGAAATCCTGTAGCCAAGTTTTGAATATATTGCAGTCTATTTAAGGTATCTGCTGGAAAACGAATAGAATTACAATAATCAAGATGATAAGGGGGCAAAAACATGCAATATTGCAGAGATGGAAAAATTTAGTTTTGACAAGTAGGTTTATAAGAGATGTGAAAGAAAGCAAAGGATCAAATACTACACCAATATTACAGACTAACTTCAGGCTTCACAAAAACTCCATCAATATCAAGGACAAAGTTTGATATCTTAGACAACACACAATTGGGAGCAACTAGCATAACATCAGTTTTATCAGCATTAAGTTTCAGAAAGTTGGCATTCAACCAATTCTTTGTCTCAATCATACATTCAGTCAGAGAACTGGGTGAAAAACTGGTGGTGGACTCCACCAAGACCATGCTGGCAGATAATTTTACCAAGTGAAAGCATATAAATTAAGAAATGAATGAGACCAAGGAGAAAACCCGGAAGCAGCCCTTGAGTAATTGGGGCAGTAGAAGATTTGTGTTTACTTATAGTAATAAATAACTATATTTGCACACTTGTAATGTATGACAGACTGTTTACTCTGTGTTTAGTTTTAGCCTATTCAGAATTAACTACATTAAGTGATGGTTGCCAAGTGCATGAAATCTTGATGCTTATCAGGAGTAGCCACTCACCTCAGCACAAGCGGAATATGTTCTAATGTTTTTAGCTAAAACACCAGTTGATTCAGCGGTTGTGCTGACAGAGTATTCTGAATCAGTGCATTTATTTGATGGACTGAAAAAATGTTTATATTTAAACGATTTGGACTTCTCATGCTGTTGTCACAACTTTTTTCGACAATTCCTGGTTTCACTGGGCTCAGCAGTTGGCTTCCTTTATTAAGTACTCAGTGTTAACATAAATCTGGGTGTAATCAGCATAACAATTAAAAACTAAGACCATGCTGGTAGATAATTTGACCAAGCAAAAGCATATACATTAAGAAATTAATGAGACCAAACGAGGACAAAGCCCAGAGGCGCCCGGTGAGTAACTGGGACAGTAGAAGGTTTGTGTTTACCAATGTTGATAAAGTGCTGTCTATCAGTGAGGTGAAACCACTGAAGGGCTGTGCCAGTATTGCTGATAGAAGAAAGACGGGACAAAAGTATGTTGTGATTTACAGTATCAAAAGCAGCACTAAGGTCGAGAAGGATAGGAATGTTAGGACTACTTGTGTCAGCAGAAAAAAGGATATGATTAACCATTTTCAGCAGGGCAGTTTCACTGCTATGAAAGGTATGAAAACCATACTGAAAAGTCTCATAAACAGTGTGTTTCGATAGAAACGCCTGAAACTGGAAATCTTTTCTAATACCTTCCCTAGAAACGGAAGGTTGGAGATCGACCTGCAATTATCAAAAAATGATTCATCAAGGCCAGGCCTCCTGGGTCTAATAGCAGCTCTTTTAAGACAGTGGGAACAAAACCAGCAGTAAGTGAAGTATTTATTAACAGAGAAACAGGAAGGGAAATTACAGATGCACAGATCTTGACAATAAAGGTTGGGGCAGGATCAAATTGAGGAGGGGGGTTAGATTTATTGATTAGCTCAGCAATAGAGAGAGGGTTTGTGATAGTAAAGCTGTTTAACAAGTGCTCAGACATTCTAGAGGTAATATGCTTAGAAGAAGATGGAAAACGCTGACCGATTTTACTAACTTTGTCTTTAAAGAAGTTCAGGAAGGTCTCATGTTCTACCGAGCTTAGGGCAGGTGCATTGGGTTTGAGCTTATTAATGGTTGAAGCTTTTGGTATTCCTGCTATGGTCATTCATGATGGATGCAAATGCTCAGTAGAAGCTTATAATGAAAAGTAAGGCAAATTTTCTTATAGCAACGGTCAAGACACCGAATGATAGACTTCATCTGTTTGAGTACAGAGGTATACCACAGTGAGGAATGAGAGGCTGGTACTTGCCTGTTCTTTAAAAGGGCAGGGTTTGTAATACATTGGAAAGGCTAGGATTTTGCAGGGAAATCAAATCATCATCTGACATCTTTGTGATGCACATAATGGACAAAGTTTTTAGAAACTGGGAAAAGGTAAACGGATCAACTGACCTAATGTTACAATAAGTTATAATGGTTTTCTCATGTGGCTTGAGAATAGCAATGCAGAGATTACACTCCAGTCTCCCCTTAAAATCACAGCTTATTACATACTAAGACTTATTATTCAGTAACTACAAAGACTTCAATGCAAACTGCTGGAGCTATTCTTAGGTTATGGAATTGTGATTTAAAAATCCCGGCCTTTAAAGGGGTTAATTTGAGCTCAGAGATACCAACAAAGGAGTCTGAGACTGTGATATCATTACAGCCATTGGATGTCATGATAGCCACTGGAGCAGATCAAGTCTAGTGTGTTTCCATGAGTTTAAGTGGTAAAGTTAACATGCTGAGTTAAGTTAAAACATTAAAGGTTTTGCAACAATTCTGTGGTGAGGGAGCAGCTAGTACCAACATGTTCATTGAAATCTCCTAATAGAATAATTAATCACACTAAAGCCAGTGTGAGCAATTCATTCAGTTCAGAGAGAAAGTTGGAGGAAGATTGGGGGAGCGATGAATTAGAATCAAGAACAGAAAAAAATGAACCAACAATTTTCAGTACCAAGTATTCAAAGGACATTGCTTCATGAAAAACTCTAAATGACAGTCAGACCTCCAGCCTTTCCCTTCATGTGGGGTTTGGATATACATTTACACCCAGGCAGTATCAGCATATTAAGATGTAAACAGTCATCTGGCTGCTGCCACTTCTCACTTAACAGATATATGTGTAAATTCATGAGTGCTTAAGTCATTTAGGAATAATGCTTTATTTGTAAGGGAGTGATAGTCCCCAATGCCAGTCTAGTATAAACAACCGCTGTTGTACATCCCAGAACATACTTCTGAAGGGGATGATGGTGGCTATGATTAATTCGATGAGCAGTGTTCAACACACAAGATCAGGAATGGATGCAAGGCTTTCAGTCTGTTGCCTTGAAGTAGTTTAGAGGACTAAATACTTCCTGTTAATGTTTCTTTACTGGATGTGGAACCTTGCCAGTGAGAAAGAGAGACAGAGCGAGACAGAGAGAGAGTGTGTTAGGAAAGACATCTGCTGGAAATCTTGATTATTTAGATGAATCTTTCCAGCTGACTGCAGTGGTGAAGGCTCCATTGTCTCCCACAGCTCTTATGCATTCATGAGAATGCATGAGAATGCAGATAAGAATGCAGTTTTATTCGGCTCAGAGGTTTTGAACAGGGCCACACACACACACACACACACACACACACACACACACACACACACACACACACACACACACACTAAACTGTGCTAAATAATATGTATGATCCTCCATTTGGTAAAATTTCGGTTCTCAAACTTCTCACAACACAGAATAGTTAGCCAGCACTGGCAGCCACTTCAATATAAAAACACTGACAGTGTTTGGTTTGTCTGTTCTGGACTACTGTAGAAACACAGTGACCTCTGCTGGAAGACAACCCACCCCTATGTAGATATGAAGGGCTCATTCTAAACTAATGAAAAGACAATGAATTGTATTTACAGGTGATTATACACTAATGAAAACATGACTTTGTACACCATATTCCATTTCTGCTAATAGATCCCCTAAACATTACACATTGTACCTTTAATGTCAGTGTTAATGCTAGGATTAGATTTCAGGTTTGATTTAGATTTTTCATATGAATGTCATAAATTTACAGCTAGATTTAATATAACCTTTCTAAGGTTGTCAAACGATAAAAGAAATGAACCAAAATTAATTGCTTTTGTGTAGCTCATTTCCTCAACTTTAACACTAACAAAAGATTTTTTTATCTTTTGTTCATTTTGTTATAGCTATATGAAGATAAAACCTCTAGTGGAATGTGTTTATTACCTTATAATGAATTATTCTATCAACATGTTATGAATGTGTTATTAACAGGTTATCTATGACCGCTCATAGTCAGCTCAGTTTAATTGAATAGATTTTACATGTATTGTTAGTTAAACACAAGAGGAGCATGTACACACATTTACAGTTTACACTCAACACAAAGTGTTACTGAAATATATGTTGAAATTTACAAATTGCTTGCTTAAAATTGAGTGATATGTCCTGTTTATTTATTTATTTATTTATTTATTGTGTTTGTTTGAAAAACAGCTGATGTAGGAATTTACCCAGTGCAGTGGTTAGGATGAGTTATGATCTTACTGTAATATTGTCTGTCTAATCAGTTCCCAGAAGCTTCCTCTTCTGACTGGACTATGGTCAGATAGTCTTAATTCCACATACATATTCTGATATAAATATAGTGCACACACACAAAGACACACATAACCTATTTTAGCACTACCAAACTATTAAAATAATTAAGCAGAATTAATCACATCCATTAAACACATCCATAATCCAAAAAAAAAAAAAATCAATAATGGTGTGTGATTGGACAAAATAAACTTCACCAGAATATGTTTATTTTGTCCATAACTTCAACCTGAACATGGAAACCATGTAAAAAGAGGTGAACATGAAAATAAGGTGAAGAGAATAAGGAGGTGCTGAAGGAAACGCTCTACTCGTTTTTTAATTAATTCTATTCATCTCTTTATCTTTGAAGGATTAGACTAATAAAAGCCACAAAACTTCTACAGGTGCAAAGATCATAGACTGATCTGAGCTGCAAGCAAAAGAGAAAAGAAACACTTTAAAAAGAAAAAAAGATTATTTTATCTTAAGCATATTTTTTTATGAATGGTTTATTACAAACTACTGTTACAAAGTGATAGCAATATGTGAAAATAACATTTTCATAACAGCAATTTATGTTGTCATATTATTTTCTGTATTTTAATAAAATTTGACTAATATTATTGATAAAGTATATTTACAACTGCCATATTCAGATTGTGTGTGTTGTTTTTTCACACCTCTTTTTCACAGTCACTCTTTAATGTGCTGTTTTTGTGGATCAGATTCATTAGAATAATGCTGACTTCAATCTCTGAATCTCACATGGGTGATATGCAGGACAGGACATTTAGAGGGCATTCACATTTCATCTCTTCATCTCAGCTCCAGCATGTAGTGGATGCAAAACTTTCAGTCTGTTGCCTGGAAGCAAAAGACCATAAAACTGAAAAACTTCCTGTTTATGTTTCTTTATTGATGTGGAATCTTTCCAGAGAGAGAGATAGAGTGTGAGAGAGAGAAGAATAGAGTCCTACTACAGTTCCTACCATTCCTATCTATCATGAGACCACATTTGTTTTGTTTGGCTCAGAGGTTTTGAACGGAGCCAGAGTCGAGAATCTAAACATGACATATCAGACAGAAGGACTGAGAGGTTGATAGGGAGGATGAGTGCGCATGAGGGCATGTGGGTGTGTGTGTGGGAAAGTTAAAATTATGAGCTGTACAATTCCAAGGAAAAGGTCTCACCAAAACTGTCACCAATATTAATATAATATAATATAATATATTCTAGCATATTTCATTTACATATATTTTATCTAGACTGCTATATTATTAGGAAGGCTGCTATATTATAGCTCTAAAAGCCACATCAACCAACTGGAATTCTTCCATTTGCCTTGTATATAGCTGATTTACATTCACTCATCTAGACTGTCTCAGGCTTGACTTAGGCCTAACCACAGTGCCTTTGTTGGAGCTATATAAAAGCTATGCTTCTTGCTCAATCACCAGAGGACATTCTGCTCTGTAAGCCTCAGATATGGGCTGCTCCCCTCTGGTGGCCAATCGCCATCTTTATTCCAAATAAACTATATTCCCATTAGTCCAGGAAATCCACAAACTGTTATGTTTACTGTTAAGTTCTTCTGAACTTAAGTTCTTCTGGGCTGGGTGGGGGTCGACTACATGCGTTATCACACATCACAAAGCAAAGGCTGAAACAGTTTTGACACAAACTAAACACTCAGTTTTAGTCTGTTGTGCCAAAATGTTAAGTGGCTTAAATCTTAAATGGCCCAAATGTAAATGGTATATTTTCACAGGGCTACACTTGTTTTCATTATGAATCACACTGAAAAGCCAAATGTGACTAACAGGGCAATAAACAATTTAGGAATGGAATTAACTGCAGAGAGAGCATTAAGGATCACTCAAAATGACATATTCAACATTACAAAACCTGTCAAAAAATTTGAGTAGTATTTATTTTACATTTTTCATAGTACAATAAAAAGGAGCATCAAAGTAATGTTCAAGGACAGTCAAAATCAAATTAGCTACCATTTGCCTTAATAACAGCTTTAAACACAAAATATTGGGTTTCAGTAAGAAATGGGTCAATCAACTCAACTGGTTTGGGTCATTTATACAAAAATAAGCATTCAGTCTAAAAAAACACACTATATTGCCAGTCCTACTTAGATTACCCACAGATGCTCAAATTGTCAACAAACTATCTGTTGAATTTAATTATCAACAGTGTTAAAGGTGCAGTGTGTAAGATTTAGTGGCATCTAATGGTCAGGTTGCAGATACCAACTGATTACCCCTCCCTTTCCAAGCATGTAGTACAACTTACAGTGGCCGTCAGGTTTTCTGCCACCTGTTTGGTTTGTCTGTTCTGGGCTACTGTACTACCATGTTGGAAGAGGACCTCCTATGTAGATGTAGGGGCTCATTCTAAGCTAACAAAAACACAGTTATTTGTACTTGCTGATGATTATGCACGAATAAAAACATATATTCCATTTCTGCTAATAGATCCCCATAAATTTACATACTGTACATTTAAGGTTAGTGTTAAAGTTAGGATTACATTTTAAACTTTAAGTAGATATCAATGTTAATATAATCTATGTAGGACTGTCAAATGATAAAAGTGATGAATCACAATTAACTGCTTTTGTGTAGTTCACTTCCTAAACTTTAGCCCTAACAAAAGATTTTTGTTTTAAAAAGCAGTTCATTGTGTAATTGCTATATGAAGATACAACCTTCAGCAGAATGTATTTATTACTTTATAATAAATCATTCAGTTACCAAGTTAAATGAATGTGTTAATAACAGGTTAACCATGGCAGCTCTTAATCAGTTCAGTGTAATTGAATTGATCTTTAAATTACTGTTAGTTAAAGACAAGAGGAGCATCTACACACATTTACAGTTTACTCTCAGCATTAAGTGCTACTGAAAAAGCTAATGTAAGCTATATGTTTTTTGTGTGTTTGGTTAAAAAATCAGCAGATGCAGACATTCCGTGCAGTGGTTAGGATGAGTTATGATCTTACTGCAATATGGTCTGTCTAAGCAGTTCCCACAAGCTTCCTCTACTGACTGGATGGTGGTCAATCAATCTCAATTCCACATACACATTCTAAAATTAACATTAAAAACATGTTTTCATAGCCTAATACACACACACACACACACACGCACAGACACAGACGCACACACACATGAAAATAAGGTGAAGGCACTTTCCAGTTTTATCCCTGATGTTCACTGAGATTAGTAGTGTCTGCTTGTTCCAGCTCCTCTGTTACTATAGTTCTCTCTCTCTCATACTGATATGTTGCATCTTGTAACAAGGACTGTAGTTTTCCACTTTGCCGTTGCTTTTCTTAGTTTGCTGCTGTTTGTTTTATCAATAGTTCTCATGAGCTGAAAGTGTCCTCCAGTGCTAACATTGCTAATATTACTGAAATTGCTGCATCAGCACTGTGTTTGCTTATTTAAGACTCAGCATTTTTTGGTGATAAACAAATTCATGGTAGTAACTTGAAGAAACTTTATTGAGAAATTGAACCTTGAAAATTGGCCTTTATAAGCTGTATTTGAATGAGAGGGCTACAGTCTTATTACATACTAAGGCCCATTATTCAGTAACTACAGGGACTTCAATGTAAACTGGCTGAGCTATTCTTAGGTGATAGAAGTGTGTAATAAAACTTTGGGCCTGCTAGTGGGCCCTGGCTATTTAAGCGGTTAATTAGTGGCGTTAATAATTTATTGTGTTAATGCATTATTTATACATTTCATTTAACACCTCTCATTACTCATTATATTCATTGCTTTGCATATATGTACAACTCAGTTTAACAATGTCTTTTCCCTGAGCTGCACTGCACAGTGGAGCATTTTAACTCCCCTTAAACACCTGCTTTGATTAATCAGTTATTATCGAGTCCTTCTTCAGATAAAGCAGGTGTGCACTGCACTGAATTTACTCAATTCAAATGTGTTCACTGTAATAAACTGATGTAAATTTACAGCAAAAGGTCCACATTAATCTACTGTATTCCTTAAATGCAGCAGATTGATGTAAAGAATGATGCATTTGGGGAGAAATAGGTCCAGTTTCACATCAAAGGAGTTGAAATGTTGGATTTTACAGTAATTATCTGTTATTTGCAAAGCATATTGCTGTACATTAGAAACACAAAAGTGCAGGGAAAAAAATGCAGAAATACTCAGCAGACGTATGCAAACTAAAAGACACATTTGAGTTGATGTAATATATTGTATTCATTGGGAAATTATGCAAACATTTGAACCCAGTAAATGCTGTGAAACTCCATAGGGACTTTTTGACCTGGGAGAGGTCCAGCACGAGATAAATGACAGCAGACATGTGGGGCCTGCGGCTGACGGACATGTGAACGCCTGAAGTGAAACCACAAACGTGTTTACACATGAGCAGCACGTACACACACACCATGTCAAAAGGAAGTGTAGCAAAGTCAGTGTTGTAATGATCACATGATTGTTGTTAATATAAGGTTTAAAGCTGAGTTCTGTGGCACAAACAGCAATTTGTGAACTGAAAGTCTTTCTGAACTGCAGCTCATCACCACCAGAGACTTCACCATGAGGTTCCTGCTCCTACTGGCTTTGGTGACATCCAGCCTTCTACTCACCAGTGGTAAGTAAAGGCTTGTCATTTTTAATTGCATATGATCTAATTTGTTTACTAATTAGATACTAAATCACTCACTTGAATCATACCATTCTGTATTAGTGCTGTTAAAAAAACACATTACCACAATAAATCATTAATACCAATTTTTTTAAACATTGTTAGTGCATTGTCCTAGTTAAACCATATCATTTTGGCTGCTCATACACTGTATGTTGCTATGATTGACTCCACAACTGTAGCTCTCTCGTTCAAATACAGTTTTTGGAAACAGCTTATTTGGAGTGGTCCTTTATAGATGATTAATAAACTCTTAACACAGTTTCAGTAACACATCAACAACATATCAGTGAAGAAACAGTAGTGAAGCATTCAAATACATTGAAATAAATGTCCTGAAGATGTACTGTTAATACATTACTTACATTAAGTATATGCATTGTTGATATATTACATGAAGTAGACTTAATATGTTTCTTCCATTGAGCGAAACCTAACCTTGTCCAACCGTACCCAGCTGAACTACTGAAAGTAATAAATACATTCTGACAAAGCTTCCTTTGTCCACTCATATAGCTATAACAAAATACACTGCTTTTTGAAACCTTTTTATGGTTTTCAAATTTAAGCAATAAATGTGATTAATCACAATTAACTACACAAAGTAATGTGATTAATTGCAGTTATTTTAGCACTAATGAAAAAGAATTTAAACTTCATTTATTGTGATCATGAAAAAATGTAAGAGCAATAATGTAATAAAATAAATGAAGTTAAATTTTTTTAAATAATAATAAAATAATAAAATGCATATTATCTACATCATCATGTCCTGGACTCAGCTCACTCCAATCAGAATTATTTGCACCTCTGCTGGCTCTCAATACCATAATACAGATTAAAGGTATCTTTTTCTTGTGTATAATTGATGAAGCACTGAAATTAACTGCCAGAAAATAAGGGCTTTAAAACAGAGACATTTCAATTTCATTTGGAAAAGCAATCAAGGGAAAGCGAGAGAGAGAGAGCGAGAGAGAGAGAGAGAGAGAGAGAGAGAGAGAGAGCAAGAGAGAGAGCGAGAGAGAGAGCGAGAGAGAGAGAGAGAGACCTTTTTGGCATTATGACCATTTATTGGCATACAGTACCCTATGGAGGGTTCACTTTTAGGATGACTTCACAACAACAGTTGAATGACCTGGGGAAAAAAAGGTCAAGCTTAGTAGAATAGATTATTGTTGTGCTTCTATGTGTCCTGTCAGTTCACACTGAATATATGAAATTCCTGATACTATTAGCCTACACGATGTCAGGTCATGTGCCAAACCTGCGTTTTGAAACATCAAATTTTTGAATTGACAGAATTGATCCTGACCCTTTTGTCAATGTTTTTGATAACAGATTTTAATTCTGATTACAGTTTTATCACTGAAAAACAAATATAGTTTAATTCCTGGAAACAATGTTTTTTAAAGCTATTTTTGGCAATTCTACATCATTGCCAGTATCAGACATTTTAGTCAGGAAAACTAGGATTGGGAGAAACAAGATGTCCAAATAAGGCCTGATTAACTGACTTCTGGTTCATCTTTCTGACTTCATAATATCATTCCAAAAATACCTAAGAAATCATGTGTGCACAAGTTTGCAGTTCATTTTCAGTTCAGTTACCCTAACCTTTCCTTGTACCTCATTACTTATGAGTTACTCAAGAGCTACATTACTGGCAGTTTAGAGGCCTCACAGCCTGCTGTTCAAAGGAAATACAAAGTTTATTTTATTCATATATGATATACATGATGATATTTGATATACACTTTTGCCTCTCAGTAATGTTTTCTTTTTATTTTCCAAGCTATGCAACCTCTTGGAAGAGGCTACAACAGTCAGTGCATGTGTTTACAGTTCGAGTCCAGGCTCATCCCTCCTCACAGCCTACGGAGTGTAGAGATTTTTCCCAAAGGCCCGCACTGCAAGAACACAGAGGTTATGTAAGTCTTCATGAAGGATGATATGAAGAATGTGAGCAAGACCCTGAATGAGAAAGGAAAATGAGAAATGAAAAAAATGTGCAGTTATTCCTGCAGGCACCTCCACATTTAGCACTGCAGAAGCATAAAAAACTAAGCTATTTCTTATTATCTATTTATTTAATGATACTTTGAGAAACTTTTACTGGGTACTTAAATGCATCCCACTGCAACTGAAGTTTGAGTTTGAATCTCAGTTAAAGAGAACAACAAACAATAAAAAAGATGTATTTTAGCAGCAATGTTTCACCCCCAGGCTCATATACAGAGTTTTTGGGCCAGGCTAAATGTAGAAATCTTGGGCCAGGCCACCCTTAATCCAAGACAAATCACTAGGCAAGTCCAGCAGGATGTGACATATCAGCGCAAACTTTTCATACGGACAATATTGATATATTTTGATATATATTGATATGTTTGTATTATATATCATTACTAGTGGAAAACTCTCAAACCCAACACAACCTCATGCCACCCAAAGAGCATTTTTTAAACTGACTTCAACAGCTATGCATCAGATGAACAGAACTGGCACAGTGGCCCAATAACATTAAAACTAGTTAACTCTGTAAGAAGAAGTTAAACTGAGTTTACAGATATAATCAAATATCTGATTTAACAAGGCTTACACAACTTTAGCATCATCAGAGATTGTCCATTTTATCCCATTATTATATCAGTAGCATTAGGTGGACTACAAATAGTTAAGAAAACCACAACAGCAATACAGTGAAATACAATATAATGAGCTGAAATCCCATAAAAAATGCAAATCTGTCAAACGACTCACATAGCTGATGGTCAGTCTCACAAGGAGACATATACAAAGCTGATGTTCTTTGTATTTATTTCAGCTGGGTAGAAAACAAAACACTCTACTCTTTGGGGATATCACGTGTCTTTTAAAGTCTCCTCATATTATTAGATCTGCTGCGGACTAAAATCTTGACCAAAGTTATGGTGGACAACATTGGTTTCTAAGCATTGATTTAAAGGCTGCCTAACACCAGATAAGAGGCTCCACACCATACAGAAGACTGGCATAAACATCAGCTCATTTTGCTCTCTACTTGAATAGATGTAACGGAATAAAATTTTCAACAGTATTTAACAAATTCATCAGGTTTGGTATCATCTAAAAAACTCTTAACAAACTTGTTATTTTCAGGTTTAATGTATGAAGTGAACATGATTTTTTTTTTTACATTTTTACCATCAGTTTAACAATATTCTTTCTTTTCTCAGTGCTAGTTTGGTGACCGGGCACAGGATTTGCCTGAATACTCGGGCTGCTTGGGTTAAGAAGCTTATACACTTTATTGAGAAGAACGAGAACGAGACCAAAAAAGCATAGAGAGTGAGTCTGGAGATGTTGGTGGCTGTAACAAAATCTGACACAGCCCACGAGATGTCTTGCAAAACATAACTTTGTGTGGCTTTGCTAAACTGACAAAATCTGCACTTTCTCAGATCAATCTTTGTGCAATCATCTACTGAAAATGTTTAGCCATTGGGGCTAGATCAACTGATCATCTCAACATTGTGATTTAATAAAGGGGTTTACAGAAAACTCTTTAAAAACTTACCTTTAAGCACTTTGCAATGCAATGTTTGATTTTGTGGCATATATGAGGCAAAGAACATGAGCAGTTGAGTTCATTCTGGTTTAATTTTTTGTAATGAGATGAAAAATACTATTAATGCATTTATTACTGTTTCTATTGTTATATTTTGCATGTTAACATTGTGCTACATGTATAATTAATTGAATACCAGCATTTATGTATCAGGAAAGTTGGCACATTTTTTTCTGGCTGTACAATATGTAGCATATATCACTTTATTTATTGTATGTCTGAACACCTACAGTTGATTTATTGTATTATATCTCCTCAGTATAGTACTTAGAGATTCTGCACCATAACATGTGAACCAATATCAGTCTACAAATCAGTTAGGGTAGGTTTATACTGTACAGATATGGAATCAGAACTGTGTTTTATGTGGAGAGTATCACTGAGCTGAACCAAAAATGTAGGTTTTGACTGCTGGCCTTCATTATGGCCTCACTGGGTTCTTATCAGTTAGATACATGTTCTGTGTAAGACCCCAGAGAAAAGGCAGAGATGTATAGAGTGTCAAGATTCCTCAGCACTAGGAATTACCGGTGCAAGGGCTTCACCCCTCAAACTGCAGGCATATGATTCAGTTATTAATCTTAAGACACATAATTCATTAACACAACAGCAGAGGTTATTTTGCAGGAACTTTATTCAGCTGGGATTTAATTCATAACTATCTACTTATGGATCTTTAACCACTGAGCTGTTTGTTGTAACAGAGGTAATTTTTTTACTTGTCTGCAGTGTCACATGACTAGAACTGGATCGCTCACTCTTTTGAAATACTTTTTATTTTTACATCTTTTTTGTACAACAAAGAAAACTAATAAAATGAATTGATCACATTTGGCTGTTTACTGTTCATGCAGAAAAGAAATATCATATAAGCTCACAAGAACATGACAGCCAGACTGAAGAACATAGCTGACTAATAAAACCATAGACTGAGTGAAAGAAAAGTTAAACCAAATAAATTATTGAGAAGAACAAACTAATGGAGAAAGAATAAGAGATGGTCTGGAGAGAATAGGGATGCTTCCATCCTTTATGCATGTACGGCAAAGCCACGACAAACTGTAGTGTACGCTGCTGCAAAGCCTAAAGTAATAATTTAAAAAACAGAGATGTCAGGATGGATTTTGCTGGAGATTTTCAGACCATGTCAAACATCTTTATGAATTAATGCCACATGAACAGCCTTGGAAAGAAGTTCCAGCTCGATGTTTAGGTAAATGTGATCAGTGGCATAACTAGGATCTTATGGGCCCCCATACAAAAGATTGCTTTCAATTAATAAAAAGGACGATGTAATTTGCATGTTTATTCTGTTGCTGTGTCTCAAAGGCATGACAATTCTACCACTAACAATATAGCACTAGCAATGTTACATGTTTGTTAGACTACCTATTTGGGTTGCTACATTGAAGGTTTGACGTTAATGTAGGTTAGATGAGAACAGTTAGAACACAGGTTTGGTTCCGGACTTTTTGCTGCTTATGTATCATTAGTTCATTCATTTGTTCAGCTCACTGGAAATACTGAAAACTGAATAAGCGCATGGTTGTTTCGTTTTTCCACTTTTAAAGAAAAATAAAACAATGGAAAATAGTATTTGTCATGTTTTAATCTGAAAATTGATTCCTTGAATACAAGACAACTAAAAGCTGATAACAGCTAATCCTTCTTTAATTTTGTAACTTCGGGAGTTCAAGTTGAGATGGAACTGAAAGTGAACGGAGTGGGAGCTGCTGAAGGAGAGCACTGAGACAGACCATCAACCTCAGTGTACAGAATGGCTCAAAAGTGGACAGACCCTGAGTAGACAATCTCACCAATCTGCACAGCAAGCTAATGCACTCTTTAGTGTTCTAACCTGTTTTCACACCCAGTTTAATATTAGCGGGGACATGAACAAGTAGTGAGGGGAGATGTGGAGTCTACCCAGATAAGCGTGGGAACCTGTGCCATATTATTCAGACTTTGTCTGTTTTGGCTACCTTTTGTCTGATTCTTGATCTCTATATTCTATTTGTAGGTGAGTCGTCTGATCTTAGCAGCCTTCGTGCTCATGCAAAGAATCATAGTGTTGTTACAGAAAATTGTAGAAAGCTATTTTATTACTTCTTCGGAACTGCTGAGATAATGCTGGATCTTTTAAAATCAAATCAAATCAAATCAAATTTATTTGTATAGCGCTTTTTACAACTGATGTTGTCACAAAGCAGCTTCAGAGAAATCCGTTTAGTACAAAGTTTCAACATGAAATGTAAATCCTCCAGGTGAGCAAGCCAGGGGCGACAGTGGCAAGGAAAAACTCCCTCCGGCTGAGGAAGAAACCTTGGGAGGAACCAAGGCTCACATGGGGGGACCCATCCTCCTCTGGTCAAACTACCTACAAAATTATTATACTACTAATACTAATAGTAGTAGTAATAATAGTTAGGAGGTAGTAATAGTTAGGAGGTAGTAATAGTTAGGAGACTTCAGTGTAGAGTGGGCAGCCAGTCCAAGGCAGGTGGCGGTGACTGGGTTGTGGGTAACTGGTCTGAAGCGGGTAGCCGGAGAGCTCTACAAACAATCATCCAGCAGTGTCCGGCCGGACAGGTGGGCAGTCGTTTTCTCGGAAGAAAGGTAGGGAAATGGAGTTAGTTTAGTTCTGTATAGGTGTATGTATAGTAGTATGTAAAACATTTCCAGAGTGTGGCTAATGACTCCGGCAGATCTGACTATAACAGCTTAACTAAAAGGAGCGAACCAAAGGGGCACACAGACACGGGAGCACCCTGAAACAATTTGGCATCCCTCTGCTCCACCTTCCACAAACCTGAGTGTTCGCGTGTGAGCGGCGGGACGACAGCACCAGCGTCTCAGTTTACTCAGTTTTAAAAACACAAGCCCCTGGGGGACAATTGTTTTTGTTTTTTAGAAAAGGGGACAATTTAGATTTAAAATTCTCTTGAAAACAGATTTTGACTTGAAAGCTTAAACACCCCAAGCCTCAGATGTTAATCAGATCTGCATGTGGAGTTGAAAAGTTTTTTTTTTGTTGAAACCAAAACAAACTGCTTGCCAAAGAAGACTCTGATGAAGTGTTGTTTTAACCTGTTCTCAGCCAAAGAGAACAGCCTCAAAATCAGTGATCTTTGAGGGAGTAGAGGAGAACAGGGCAAAATCCACTTTTTTACATTACATCAGGAATTCCAATTTATCTTATATAACACTGATATCAGGTGGATTACTGACCAGGTCAGTGTAGTCAGTGTCCAGGGGCCCTGGCTGCCAGGTGCCTCAGATCACAAGAACTGAGATATCACAAATACCTGGAACAAACCTCTCCACATGATATTAGATGAACAAAAAGCCCTTGAACATGTACAAATGACTAAATTAATGATAGCGTTTCATCTGTTCTCAAGCCACTCAGGTTTTATACTATTATTGACTCATGGGTTTTTGTAGTTGCATTCTAAAGGGATGTTTTAGACGGTGTGTCTTAGCGGTCATAGTGGCAGCTCTAACCATTGACTCTTTATTGAAAGGGTCACTGTAAAACTGCTACAAGGATAAATATGTCAAAATATCTATTTACAAGCTTCAATTTAAATATAGACTGTCTTTTTCAAATGTCTGTGTTTAATGAAGAATGGTTGTTATTGTGACACTTCAACAGAATCCAGACGCTCGCGGTGTAAAAAAGGCGAAAGGAGATTTAATGGAATCAGGCAAAAACGAAGTCAAAAAACAAGCAGGGGTCAAATCCAAACAGCCAATACAAAACACAACAATGATAAAATCACCGTGTGAACAAAACCAGGGGGCAAGACAAAAGGGCAAGTCGAAAAACAGTCCAGTAGTTCAAAAAACACAGAACACAAATCACAGGCAACAGTATCCAAAAGGGTAAAGGCAAAAAGCAGAGTCGAGTAAACAAAGCAAAGGGTCAAATACACAGCAGAGTAAAGATCAGAAATAACGCTCAGTAAGGTTCGGAAAGAAACAATACCTCGCACTGATCTTCCCTAAAGCCCGGGCTTAAAAACTATCCTGTTCTGATCATATGATCTAAAGCACAGGTGCCAATAATCAGTACTCAGGAGAATGAGAGCGCTGATAGGAGCGCGAGATATTGTCCGAAGTCATGTGGTCCCCTTGAGGATCGTGATAATTGGAGTCCGTATCATCCCTTGATACTGGCAAATGCGTGACGGTTATCTTAGTGCTACAATGTTACAAGACTTCCATATGGGCACGACATGATTTTATTAGGTTATTAACAATCTCTGACACTCTACTTGCTTTTATTTATATTTATTATTGTAGTATTTTGTCATTACTTTTTTTGTTTTATTGTTTTCTATTCTTTTGGTTCTTACCACACTCAACTCTTTTATTTATTTCTTTTTATTATTAATCTGATTGTTTTGATTTGCTAACCTTATTTGTCTTGATTGATTTTCTTTGCCATACTTGTACTATTTAATTATTATGTTATATGTAAATTTATATTTACTCTTTTCAGTCCTTTACTTTTTGTATAATACTCAGCTATGAAGATCACCCTCAATGTACTCCGAGTTTAAATTAAGGTTGATTTACTTCGCTCAAATTATGATGAAGTTCATAACTTTTTATTATTGTTATTATTATTTTATTATTATAATTATTATTATTATTCATTTTTTAGCAATCTTAAGCTGCTGCAGCACCCTCAGCACCCCCAACTCCACATATACAGAGAGATATTTATGGCCCGACCTGGACTGGCCTAGCTCTACTATCTCTCTACTACTAAGAGGGCGTTAGGGATTCCTTGAGGGGAAATGGTGAGGCCGAGTTGGCATGGCTCATGAAAAATAGTATTAAAATGGCTGTTTTTAGCAATGTCCTCTTATGATCACCCAGGACACATGTTAATGCCAGGCATAAATAGATATATCATATATCAAATAAGTACTCATCCCTCTGACTACTATCACTGTGTCTATTTACAATAGCAAACTCCCCCAAGGAGTTCTCCCATCCTGGTCCTAGAGATCTACCACCCTGCAGTGTTTAACTCCAACTCTAATCTAACACACCTGATGCAGGTAATGAAGGCCTTCAGGGGCCTCTGTATATTATAGCCAGGTATGTTGGATTTGAACTCTACAGGGTGATAAATCTACTGGACCAGGATTGGGCACTCCTGCCGTACATGTTTGAGGTTTGTATGATTTTTAGCCAAATTTCTGGGCAAATGGTTTCTAACCATCGGTAAGCGTCAGTGGCCAACCGTCCCTCAGCCCTGTCTGATTCGGCAAATTCATACAGATTCACTTTTAAGTAGCCTTTTGCCTTTTTACCAACCCAGCACAATGTTAACGGTGGTTTAGTTTCACTTTCTCACTCGAGGTTTAGCTTCAACACAGGTATTTGAAGCTTGTAATACAATCAAACAAAATATTCTTTACTTTGTATGGTGCAGTTTTACTGTGTTTCCAAAGAAACAAGAAGAACTGATTACTGCAATGCTCTTCTTACTGGGCTTCCTATGAAAACAATCTGTCATCTACAACTCGTACAAAATGCAGCAGCACAGATTCTAACAAAAGCAAAAACAGAGCTCATATCACTCCCGTTTTAAACTGCACTGGCTACCTGTATCTTTCAGGAGAGATTATAAAGTTCTGATACTAGTTTTTAGGACTCTAAATGACCTTAAAACTCCTGCTTACATCACAGAATGTCTGTCTTTGTTCCAATACATGATCTCAGATCTGCAGATACCGCCCTTCTGCAAATACCCTCTGTAAGATAAAGAAAACATGGAGAGACTCTTTCAGTTATTATGCTTCTAAACTGTGAA